GTTGAATATTATTTATGATTTTAACTTTATACACAAGTGCCAAAATACTATAATTTTACAGGATCTGTAGACTCCATATCACGCCCAATTAAGCGGTGGTGAAAGAAGGTCAGAACTCATATTATGTTGGAGTCCTAATTATTATTGTCGTCTTCTGTGAGAACATCCTGTTATTTCATTTAAATATTCTGTTTAATACGCTTTAAATAAAGATAAAATTAAACAGTATTCTAAATATCGTTCGATGTATACATAAAACCAAAATTAACTTTTTCTAACAATGAACTTTGATTTCTATTTTTTATGTGTATTCCGTAAAAATTACAGTTTAAACTACTAACTATGTTGACCCAGTTATTAACTCCCCATTGGCTCAGCGGTACGTTAGAAGACTTATAACAGTCGGGGGGGGGGGGACAGCAGAGAAACCCCCTTACTTATGTGTGCTCTTACAATATATCCACTTATTATACTATATCATGATTCAAAGATAAATACAATTACATCTCCGGTTTTCTTTAAAATGTTGTTACGGTTGATGAGTTTAGAAACTAACATTTCAAGCTTAAATCTAAATGACATTATTCTGCAGAAGTGCATATAAATGTTAATAATACAATGCAAATGCACATGAAAGCATAATATTTAAAATTATCATTTCTTAAAAGCTACTTATTCCAGAGGAACTAAATAAGCTATCTGTGCTCTGTCCACTACGGGTATCGAAACACGGTTTCTAGCGTTGTAACTCTGTAGTTATGCTGCTGTGTCACTAGAGGGCAGTTGGATATGGTAAAAGGTGTTTGAAACACTTTCACGGGAGGTGTTCAACATGCTTTCCGTAATCTTAATATTCATTTTAATTAATTTAATTAATATTTAATAATTAATTTTATTAGTATTTAGTAATTAATTTAATTAACATTAAATACTTAATTTAATTAATATTTAATAATTATTTTAATAAATATTTAATAATTAATTTAATTAACATTAAATACTTAATTTAATTAATATTTAATAATTATTTTAATAAATATTTAATAATTAATTTAATTAACATTAAAT